CTACTTCCCCAATTCATCCTGAGATACTGTTTCAATAAAAGGATGAGTGACACATTTCCATGAGACCTCTGAAGGAAAGGGATCTCAGTGTTCAGGTCCACTCTTGGCCTTAGAATGAATGCTTGGAGTTCCTTTATTCAGGCATAATTGTAGGATGGTTTAGAAACGCCGCACAAAAGCTCACAGAGGACTTGAAGAGTGTGCATGGGTTCCCACCATATTTGGCACAAGGAATCTACTTTTCAGTAAAGGAATTCTAAAATTAGCATGTGACTAGGGGACCCTCTGGTCACATTACATATCACACCACCCAGAAACTGCCATCCTGATACAGAGATGAAGCCAGCTGATGAGCACACAGCTGACAGAGCTTGGAAATGATAGGGAGCAAGGACAGGATACCATCTTCCAGCATGCAGTACACACCTGCACCAACAGCCTGTGTCCCCAACAGGGGGAACATAAGAGTCCAGATTCAAGGGGGAAACAGGAGGGGAGCTGTTGCCATCACTCTCAGGGATCAACACAGTAAACCTGTGTTTCCTGAACTCTAGGCTCTGCAGGCTTAGATGTTCTAGTTTCCAAAGGGGGAAAGAAAAATATGTCTAGTATGGTAATGGGTTATGGCTGCTTCCTGGGAACGTCACACTCCTTGTGTGAAGAGGCCTAGCTCCCTGCTCTATTTTGATGACGATAAAAAGACAAGTACAGCAGCATTGCTTGTGGAGGGCAAGGATACCAGGGGTTCGGATTTCTTAGAGCTCAGAGTCTGGATCACATCATCAGGTAAGCCAGTGAAATCAGCAGAGAGTTTACCTAAGGCTGAAGGAACTCTAGGGTAGACAAGAAGAGAAAATGACGGTTATCAGTTACTGTCCTGAGATCAACTGCTCTGAGCTAGAAGTTTTCCAATGTTCTGTGTTTCCACCTTAAGGACATTTGTTTGCTGGGGAAGCTGACTTTAGAACCAATCTAGTTGGACAAAGAAAGGAAGAGGGCTGGGATATAGTTCAGTTGGTAGAGTGTTTGTCTAGCATGTACAAAGCCCTGGATTTCATCCCAAGCTTGGGGGTCCTCATATGCAATCCTAACACTGAGACAGTAGAAGCAGGAGGATTTGAAGTTCAAGGTTGGGCTGGAGAGATGGTTCTGAGGTTAAGAGCACTGGCTGCTCTTGCAGAGGACCCGGGTTAAGTTCCCAGAACCCACAAGGTAGCTAACAACCATCCTAACTCTAATTCCAGGGGATCTGACACCCTCTTCTGACCCCCACAGGTACGTCCATATGTGCAAGCAATACACTCATATATATAAAATAAAATATTTTTTTTTAAAGTTCAAGGTCATCTCAGCTACATAGAAAGTTCAAAGCCAGTTTGAGATACATGAGATTCTGGAAAAAAAAAAAAAAACGGAAGAAGGGAGAGAGGGAGGAACTCTAGAGTAGACAAGAAGAGAAAAATGATGGTCCTGAGATCAACTGCACTGAGCTAGAATTTTTCCAGCATTCTTCTATGTTTCCACTTTAAGGACATGATAGGGAGGAGGAGGAGGAAGAGGAGAGGAAACAGACAGACAGACAGACAGACAGACAGACAGAGGGAGACTTGTCTAAAATGAATCCAAGTGTCATCAGAGGTGGGCTCGAGGACACAGTGATGGGTACCACCTAGGTCTTCCTTCAGGAATGAAGAACTCATTCCCCAGCTTCTTGGACTGGAATCAACAGAAAAGTCCTCGGCCATCAGGCCCTTGCAGGGATTCCACTAAGTGAAACTAGCCCACTCACTTTATTTCAAAGCAACGCTGAAGGGTCACCCAGTTTTAGAGCTCTCCTTGGATCCAGTGAGGCCTCTGTGAGGTGCTATCACAGGTGCTGTCCCTCTACCCAATTGTCACTCTACTGGATTTTGCTTTTGTCACTCAATCTAGACAGTATTGCAAAAATAAACAAAAAGAACAAGATTTGGGGTCAGAGGAAATACAATCCAGAAGACATGGTGAACCTGTGACTCTGAATCAGTCTTCCAAAGAAGGCAGGAAACGGAGAGATTGCATGGGCTACTCAAGATGGAAAAGAGAAAAAGCTACAAGACTGATTGAAGATAAAGAAAAGAATGAGCAATCCAGGTACCGTGGTGTGTGACTGTGATCCCAGCACTCGGGAGGTGGAGGTAGAGGATCAGGAATTCAAGGTCATCCTCTGGTATATAGTGAATTAGAGACTAACTGGGCTATAGGAGATCCTATTTTTAAAAAAGGGAGGAAGACAGAGAAAGGAAGGAGGGAGGGAAGGAAGGAGGAAGGGAGGGAGGGAGGGAGGGAGGGAGGGAAGGAAGGAAGGAAGGAAGGAAGGAAGGAAGGAAGGAAGGAAGGATCGAAGGAAGGAAGGAAGGATCGAAGGAAGGAAGGGAAGGGAGAGAAGGAAGGAAGGAAGGAAGGAAGGAAGGAAGGAAGGAAGGATCGAAGGAAGGAAGGGAAGGGAGAGAAGGAAGATGGGAGGGAGGGAAGGAGGGAGGAAGGGAGGGAGAAGAAAAGAAGGAAGGAAAGAGGGAGGGAAGGGCTTCTAGAGGGAAGACCAAGTAGATTTTTTAGGGACCACAGACAGGTTTTTAAGAAAACAAAGGTGAGATTAAAGTATGTGATTATCTTCATACCAGCAGGAGAAGGTTTGTTTTGCTTTCGGTTTTCTTTTTTTGTTCTTTGTTTTGTTTTTTGTTGTTTTATTTTGTTTTGTTGAGACAGGGTCTCCCTGTAGTCCCAGTTGGCCTGGAACTGGTTATATAGACCTGGCTGGCCTCAAACACACTGAGACCTGCCTGCCTATGCCTCCCTAGTGCTGGGATTTAAAGCATGCACCACCATGCCTGGCTTTGGTATGAGAGGTTTTGATATCTTCTTTAGAATGGAAGCATCCCTGGAGAAAGTATTTGGAATTAAGTTTACTGTAGATCTCTCTCCTGTGAGTAGAGGCTTCCATCCCACCCCAAGAGGAAATATTCTATACAGCAATCCTCATTTCTTAGAAGCATCTGCTTTTGGTCAGCTACAGGAAGCTCTGCAAAGGTTTCTTTCAGTATCGCTGAGTTTTAAATGTCTTCAGCTTAAAATAATCTGTATATCCACTCTGGGGTTCTAAGTGTGTTGGTATCATTAGGTTCCAAATCTGAGGATCTACCTACCTACAGATCACAAATATTCCAGGGAGAAATTTATGTCTGTACTAAACACATACAGATTTGTTTCCTTCTCATTATTCCCTATACAATACAGTGCAGCACCTTGCTATGAGGAATAAGTACTCTAGAGACCATTTAAAGTATATAGGAGATGTATGGAGCATTGTATTGTATTTGCAAACACAGTCCTATGTTTTATATAAGGGACTTGAGCATCTGTGGATTTTGGTATCTAAGGAGATCTAAAGGACAAGGCAGGAAAATTGTATCTACCTTCTACATTTGTTGTGAGGACTGAGTTAATGCAGAACTCTTCAGCACATAATCACACAATGTGTTTGGTAATTATTATGATTGAGATGAATGAAGTCTACAGAGCTGAAGAAAGAGTCTCTTGAAAGAAAATCTCTAAGAAAAGGGTGGGCAGGAATTTATAGCTCTGCAGATCTTGAATTGCGGGAATCAAGCAGATTCAGTTGCTAATTCCTGTTGAAGTTTTCCCTTGTCTGTTTCCCCATCCTGCACAATGGGAATAGCAACACTTATGTTGTTTGTTCTATTTGTTTGTTGTGGGTGTTGTTACTGTTGTTTTGGTTTAGGGGTTTTCTAAGAGTCTCAAAAGCCCAGGCTGGTCTCAAATTTGCCACATGACCATTTGACCTTCAGTTCCTGATTCTCCGTCCTCCACTTTTCCAGTGCTGGGATAACAGGAGGGGCCACTGCATCAAACTTTAGCAGTTTTATTCTTACTTGTAGGGGTTCTATGAGAACCGAAAAGTAGTCATTATAAAATGCCTGGATTCATGCTTTGCATATCATAAAGAATTCTGTAAATTAAACTTTTTATCACCGTGGATATAATTCCTCTCTTTAGATTTAAAAAAAAAATTTATTTTTGTTTATGTGTATGAGCATTTTGCCTGCATGTAGGTGGAGGCCAGGTGGGACATCCCCTGGAACTGAGGTAAGGCAGTTAATGGTTAATGGCTGCCATGTGGGGTTAATGGTTAATGGCTGCCATGTGGGTGCTGAAAAAGCCCAGGTCTTCTGCAAGAGCAGCCAGTGCTCTTAACCTCTGAGCCATCTCTCCAGCCTCCTCTCTTCAGTTTTTTGGGACAGAGTTTCATACAGCCCAAGGCTGGACTCAAAACCCCTCGAATTCACTATGTAGCTGGGAGTGACTTTGAATTCCTGATCCCTCGACCTTTATTTACCTCCCAAGGGCTGGAGTTACATGAGTATACGACCAGCCTGGCTCTTTATCTATTAAAAAGGACTCTCCTCACATGAGCCCCAAAGTCCCTTCGACCCAGAGAATTCTGAATCAAGGGTGATTCATAAATTAAGCCAGGCTGGTGGTGCAGGTCTGAAAACCTAGCACTGAGGAAACCGAGGCAGAACATAATGAAATAAAAAGCAAATAAAGTAACATTTTAAAACTTAGGTGACTCAAGAGTGTTGTGGTAGTGGTGGCAGCGTAGAGGAAAGCGAGAAGAGGGGCCAATGGAAGAATCACTGCCCCATCCCCCTCTCCCATCCTCCCTGCCCAGCTGAGCGTGGCAGCTATTCCAGGAATCTGAAGGCACAGTAGGACCGAGCAAGCGCCTGGAAGTCCCCAAAGGGCTGCGGTGGGAGGTACCACTTCCGGACCTAGAGCACCTGAGCGGCTGCTGGCCCCCGCGCCTCCCGGTCCCCGGAGCGTGTCCTGGGTCCCCAGCGCCAGCCGCCTCGCTGGGGCGGTACCTGGGGCCGAACTCAGCCCCTCTCGCTCCGCCCCTCAAGCTTTGACAGGACTCTCCGCTGGTGCAGGGAAAATAAGAGGAACAGGAAGGGGAGGAGCTGTTCTGTGGCTGGCTGCTGAGCTATCTGCCGACCGCAGAGAAGGGTAAACGGGTGTTCCCCGCGCCACCGGGGCCCGTGGACCTGGACGGGCGGTCTAGTCCGGTCTAGGAAGCCCGGCGATGCCCCGCCAAGGAGTGTCTCCTAGCCGGGGCCGCCCCAGAGCCGGCGGGGCGTGGAGGCTGGAGAGGTCCTTGCCGGCACCCAGCCTGGGACTCCTTTGGATGGGGCTGGCGATGGGGCTGACCCTGTCTGACTCCTTGGTACTCTGGACCCCTGCCAGAGCTCATCCTCTTCCCACCCAAGGCCATCTTGCCAAGTTCAATAGCATGGTGCCTCCGTTCCAGAGTGCCTTTGGGTGGTGGAACCTCACCTGCCCAGCCTGCAAAGTCCTATTCACAGCTGTCAACTACGGGCTAAAGGTAAGAACTGTGAGGGCTGTGGTGGAGCGCTGGGGGCTCGGTGGGGACGCTGAGATGCTGTGGGGTCCTGTGCAATCCCGATGAAGAGGGTGCTTCCCTTTGGGGACATCCATGCCTACATGCTACCTTTGTAACATGCTGTATTGCCATCTTTATAAAGTCAGTAAAGACAGTGCCCAATGAGTTTGAAATACTGTGGACCCTGAGCTAAAGAGGAAGTAAGGGCATAGTGCTACTTGAGTCACAGGGCGATATGTAGGAGGCACTGAGGTCTCTTTATCATGGTGGTGCTAAGTTCACCCCAGCCACACTGACAGATGGAGGCCCGTGGGCGGTGGTAGCCAGGGTTCCTTGCTCTGCCTCTAACCTCTCAGAGCTGGTTCCTTCCATCACAGAAGGAGACCAATGTCGCGCGGGTGGGATCTGCGGCCATCAAGATGTGCAAGATGCTGAACATAGCACCACCGGATGTGTGCGAGTCAGCTGTCCATCTCTTTGAGGACGACATGGTGGAGGTGTGGAGGCGTTCAGTTCTGAGCCCATCTGAAGCCTGTGGCTTGCTCCTGGGCTCCACCTGTGGGCACTGGGACATCTTTTCATCTTGGAATGTCTCTTTGCCAGCGGTGCCAAAGCCACCCCCAAAGCCACCTAGCCCACCTGCTCCAGGTGCTCCTGTCAGCCGCGTTCTCTTCCTCACTGACCTGCACTGGGATCATGACTACATGGAGGGCACAGACCCTGATTGTGCCAATCCCCTGTGCTGCCGCAAGGGCTCCGGCTGGCCACCCACCTCTCGTCCAGGGGCCGGGTACTGGGGCGAGTACAGCAAATGTGACCTGCCCCTGCGGACACTGGAGAGCATGTTGAAAGGGCTGGGCCCTGCTGGCCCTTTTGAAATGGTGTACTGGACAGGAGACATCCCCGCCCATAATGTCTGGCAGCAGTCTCGTCAGGACCAGCTGAGGGCCCTGACCACTCTCACAGACCTCGTGAGGAAGTACTTGGGGCCTGTGCCAGTGTACCCTGCTGTGGGCAACCATGAGAGCACACCTGTCAATGGCTTCCCTCCCCCCTTCATAAAGGGAAACCAGTCTTCACAGTGGCTCTATGAAGCCATGGCCAAGGCATGGGAGCCCTGGTTACCACCTGACGCCCTTCATACCCTGAGGTACTTACTGTCCATAGAAAGCCAGGGAGGGAAGTTGTCTGTGCTCCAACAAGCACCCTCAGTACCCTCCACTTCCCTCCCTAACCTGACCCTACCTTCCCTTTTGCTCTTATCTCCAGCCACCCACTTCTCAGAACTAGCTGCACAATCTCACCACACCCCAGGTTGTATCTTTGCTTGTGGCTGGCTCTCTAAATGAACTGCCCTCCTCTTTTAGTATCTTCAACTTGTCCAGGTCCACAGCATCTACCCTCAGAATGGCCTTTGCCTCCTCACCTGGCTCACTTTTATTTCTACCCTGAACTCCTGGAGCCCTCAGCCTTCTAAATCTTCTTCCATGTCATATGAGCCCTATAATTAGTGCCGTTTGGTCTTCAGTTAGGATGGGAGCTCCTGGGGGTGAGTGATGACATCATGTGTGCCTCTGCCTAGCACAGGACCAGGCATGCAGGACCAGGATGATGAGTGGTGACCTCTTGTTTACTTTTGTTTCAGAATTGGGGGGTTCTATGCCCTTACTCCACGCCCCGGCCTCCGCCTCATTGCTCTCAATATGAATTTTTGTTCCCGTGAGAACTTTTGGCTCTTGATCAACTCCACAGATCCTGGTGGACAGCTCCAGTGGCTGGTGGGGGAGCTTCAGGCTGCTGAGGATCGAGGAGACAAAGTGAGGGGCCGTGGTGCTGCTGGGGTTGGGAGGGAGACAGGTGAGCAGAGCTTGACCTCACTTGTGGGTGCTCCTGTATTCCCTGGAGGTCCAGCTCATCCTTGCTTGCCCGCTGACACCCTTTCATAGAATTCCATTGCCACCTCGCCCCAAGGCTGCCTGGATCCTTGGATGCTCTGATAACCACCCTTAACTCTCCCCTCAGGTGCATATAATTGGCCACATTCCCCCAGGGCATTGCCTGAAGAGCTGGAGCTGGAATTATTACCGAATTGTAGCCAGGTAGGAGGAAGAAGAGGGCTGAAGTTCCCTCAAGCACCTGATCTGCACTGCTCCATGGGGTGGAGGAATTCCTTAAACACATTGGAGAAAAAGCATACTAACTCCCCAGATCTACCCACCCCCACCCCAGGCTTAGTAGAATCTTCTGAATATCATTCATGTCTCTGGCCAGGTATGAGAACACTCTGGCTGGCCAGTTCTTTGGCCACACTCACGTGGATGAGTTTGAGATTTTCTATGATGAGGAGACTTTGAGCCGACCGCTGTCTGTAGCCTTCCTGGGACCCAGTGCCACCACCTATATCAACCTTAATCCTGGTGAGTGAGGCAGAATAGAACATCCCTTGACCTAGGATTGATGTGACAAAATAGTGCGGGGTCAGACAGGAAAGGAAAGCCTAGGTGTGATGGTCCTTCCCAGAGCTGCCTTCATTCCTTTCTCCTCCATTCAACCCTCCTTTCTTGCAGGTTACCGGGTCTACCAAATAGATGGAAACTACTCCGGAAGCTCTCACGTGGTCCTGGACCATGAGACCTACATCCTGAACCTGACCCAGGCCAATGCACCAGGAGCCACACCACACTGGCAGCACCTCTACAGGGCTCGAGAAACCTATGGGCTTCCAGACGCACTGCCTGCCTCCTGGCACAACCTGGTCTACCGCATGAGGGATGATGTGCAACTCTTCCAGACCTTCTGGTTTCTCTACCATAAGGGCCACCCGCCCTCGGAGCCCTGTGGCACACCCTGCCGCCTAGCCACTCTGTGTGCCCAGCTCTCAGCCCGAGCAGACAGCCCTACTCTGTGCCGCCACCTGATGCCCAACGGGAGCCTCCCAGATGCTCACGGCTCCTGGTCTTGGCCCCTGTTTTGCTAGGGCCTAGAGTGGGGAAAGTTCACGAACTAGGAAAGGAACAAATCCCTGAGTGCTGCTGAGTCAACCTGGCAAGAAGTTCCAGGGAAGGAGCCAGTTGTCAGGCTAAGGAACAGGCCTCCTCATCTGGAGCTGGTTTGGCTGGATTTGGGGGAGTGTTTGGCTGTCCCACCTGTGCCCAGCCTCTGGATTCCCGCAGGGCTGCTGTCTTCTCAGGCCACAGAGCTGAAGTCTCAATGCCCTGGGCAGCCTAACAAAAGCTGTTACCCTAGGCCTGTGCTGGGCAGCTGGGAACTTTGAATTGCTGCTACCTGATCCTGCCAGGCTGATTTCAATAAAGAGACTTGAACTCCATGACTGTCCCAATTACTTCCTCCCAAACAAGCAAGGCAAGGAGTTTGGCAAAAAGATCCTGACTGAGGAGTTGGTATTGGTAACAGGGAAATGGTGTAGTACAGGGTACAGAAAGGCATACAGTAGCGCAGACAGACTTTATTAGTGATATCAGTACAGCAGAGGTGCCCACAGAGCAGGGGAGAGGGGACCCATGCCTAGACCAGTCCCCTCTTTCTACCCCTGGGTGGGGCCTGGCTTGGACCAGTTCCTCCTGCTCTACCTCAAACAGTGGGCAATGGGAATGGAGAGCCAGGGGCTGGCCTTGCTTCCAACTCCTCATGTCTTCAGTCCAGTGTTATCACTTCCATGAAGGGATTACATCTCTCACTCCCAGCCCCTAGGCAGGGAACCCCAGCTACTGAGAAGGGGCAGCCTGGGGGACCTGAGTCCTGGGAATAGCATCCAGAGCCCTGACCTGCCCCAAACCCTAGAGTTCCCTGGGGCCCAACACAAGCATGTGGAGGAAGGAGAGGGTTCTTCATGGGGTCTGGGCCCCTAGACGTTTGGGCTTGAGGGAGCCCCACAGGGACTGAACACCCCTTCGGACAGTCCACCCTACACGCCTGGCAACGGACTCCGCAGGCGGTGCTGGGAGGCAGGAGGTGGAGGTCTGGGAGCGGGCATCCAGACACTTCTGGTATCGGAGCTGCAGAAAAGCAAAGGGACAGTCACTCTCCATCCTGGCCCCATAAGGTCACACCACTATCCGGCCTACTTACCATGCACGCAGCCTGCACGGCCTCCGAGAGGCTTGCAGCATTGGGCTCGCACCAGAACATGTGGCAGCAGAAGGAGGCTGGGCCGGCAGCCATGATGAATGCGAATGTGTGGACATCTCTGCCCACAGCCAGGAAGGAAAGGAAGCGCACCCGACACTCCCCCAGCACTGCCTCTGTCTGTAGGTAAGGAACCCAGTTAAAAAGAACATCCCCAGCCCTGTATTCTACTGAGGCACACCCATTTTACTGGCAGCTCTCCCCTGACCCCATTCCCCTCCATGGCAAGACACAGCCGGGCTTTCTCCCACCCCAGCTCTTTACCTGCTGGTGCAAAATGGTGAGGGTAGCAGGGGCCACGCTGACATGACTTGGGGTCCACTGCTCACGGCTTCCAGAGGACAGGACTGACTCAAGGGCCCCATTAATCACGTCTACCCCTAAAAGATATGGACACAAACATGCATGCCTGAGGATTAGGAGAGGATACCCCAGCACTGCCCAGTCAAACTCAGGGGCCTTGCTCCAACTGAGTTCCACCAGCCTGTGCCCCTTCCTGGGTACTCTCCTGTTTCTGTGACCTGACACTTCGCTTTTTCCTATCATGAATCCCAGCTTGGTTTTCATCACCCATTCTATTTCTTCTTCCTTTAATTTTTTTATTTTATGTATTTGATTGTATTGCCTGCGTGTATGTAAGTCATGCAATGCCCATGAAGGCCAGAAGGTGTCGGATCCCCTGGAACTGGCGTTAAAGATGGTTGCTAGTCATCATGTGGGTGCTGGGAATCAAACCCGGGTCCTCTGTAAGAACAGCCAGTGCTCTTAACTGAGCCATCTCTCCAGCCCCTACCTACCTCTTCCTCCTAAATGGACTGATGCTGCCCCCTGAGTTCTGACCTCCCCATCTATTGTTCTCCACGTTCAAACACTGCACTTTTGCTTCACACAATCAGCCAAGTTAGTCCTGCCTCTAGACTCAAACTTTTGGGGGGGGGTTTTGTTGTTGTTTTAATTACTTTTATTGAATTTTTGCAAATTTCATGCATTTGGACACATTTAGATCCCCTTCCATATCTGCAACCCCACCAAATCCCGCACTCCAGTGTATTATATACACACAATATAAAAGCCTATTGAGTTGGGTTTATGTCCCCAAATGCCCTTTGGCATGGGTTTGTCCACTGGAGCCTGGTCAACCTACCAAGAATGTCATCCTTAAGTGAGATTGAATCTCCCCTTCCCAGAAGCCATCAGTGGCCAATAGTTCCTCAGGGAGGGTTGGGATTTCTTATCCATGTCTATGCTGGTATTTGGGGATTCTGTCTGGCTTGTACATGCTTTCACCACTGCTGTGAGTTGTTTTTGTCTTTTTTTGTATCCAAGTGCCTTGAGACACTTTTTTGTCATTTTATTTTTATTTTATGTGTATGAATGTTTTGCCTGCATGTATGTATGTGCACCATGTATATGTAATGACCTTAGAGGCCAGAGAACAGCATCTGATCCCCTAGAACTGGACTTACAGTTGTTAGCCTCCATGGGGGTGCTGGGAATCAAACCTGGGTCCTCTGTAAGAGCAGCCAGTGCTCTTTACTGCTGAGCTGTCTCTCCAGCCTGTTTTTGCTTTTTGAGACAGGATCTTACAATGTAGCCCTAGCTAGCTTAGAACTCAATATGTAGTCCAGGCTGGCCTCAAATTCAGACATTTGCCTGCCTCGGCCTACAGAGTGCTGTAATTAAAGGTGTGTGCCACCACCCTCACTCTTATCTTGAAAAAAAATCTTAACTGGGCATGGTAGCCCATGCCTTTAATGAACAGCACCTGGGCATAGGCTGGCAGATCTCTATGAGATCAAGGACAACCTGGGCTACATATCAAGTTCCAGGCCAGCTGGGGCTACAGGAAGACCCTGTCTTTAAAAGAAACAAACAAAAAAATCACTTTATTCATTTATTTTATGTATTTTATGTGTATCCACGGGCATGCATGTGACACGGCATGTGACATGGAATGTATGTGGAGGCCAAAGGAGAATTTGCAGAGAATCAGTTCTATCTTTTTACCATGTGGGCCCTGGGGACTGAACTCTGGTTGTCAGGTTTGGCAGCAAGCACCTTTACTTGCTGAGCCATCTCACTGGCCCTGGATATTATTTTTTAACACAAGAGAATTTATTAAGGGTAAACAAGCTGAATAACACAAATTAGATGAACCAAGTTCTGTTCTGTCAAGCCTCTAAAGATAATCCATAGTTAGTAAGAAAAAAAAATTTTTAGATTTTATTTATCTTTATTTTATGTGCATGAGTGTTTTGCCTACATATATGTAAGAGCACAACCTACATGTCTGATGCCCATGGAGTCCAAAAGAGGGCATAGGATCCTCTGGATTTGGAGTTACAGATGGGCGTTCACCACCATGTGGGTGCTAGAAACTAAACCCAGGTCTTCTGGAAGAACAGTAAGTGCTCTTAATTTCCATCTCTCTTAGTCCCCACAAAGGAATTCTTTATAATCAGTTAATTATCTATTCTTACGTAAGTGAATATTACATAAAATCCTGAACACTTTGTCTAACCAAACTAGATAGTCCACTTGGAAAATTTTACTTTGAATATTTTGTTAGTAATTTCTTTAATGAAATGTTTTAGAAATTTATTTGTACATATTTCTATTCAGCAGGTACAAAATTTCTCATTGCCAATGATATTATACATAACAGATATTTTATTTATGTCTGTAAAATATCTGGGCCCTTTAACCTTAGGCAACAAAACCTACATAGAATTAGAGTGGGTAAATAACTAAAATATCTATACTATAAAGTGTTATTTTTATATCAAAAATTATCTTAGCCACTAATGCATCTCACTCTTGAGTTACTGCTAAGCATGCTTAAAGGATTTGAAGCTTCAAATATTTTCATTAAACTACAGACCACAGTAAATGTGGCATCGTGGCACATGCCTTTAATCCCAGCACTCTGGAGACAGAGGCAAGTGGATCTCTGTGAGATCAAGGTCAGGTCAGCCTGGTCTACATAGTGAACATAGTGAACTCATAGTCAACTGTGGCTATAGAGAGACCCTGTCTCAAAAAAAAACAAAACAAAAAAAACAACCAACTAAAGCTCACAACTGCCTATAACTACAGCTCCAGGGAATCTGATGCCTTCCTCTGGCTTCCACCAGGGCCAAACACACAGACAGCACACATATACACAAAAATAAAAATAAATCTAAAAAAATATAACAAGCTTCTTTCATTAAAACTGCCCTTGGTATTGAAGAACCCTTTAAAAACAAACTATACTTGACCCTTAAGACTTTTTGTTTTTTTAAGATCTACTGAGTTTAACCAGGATCATCTGTGTGACCATAGGTTTGGCGTCTGCTGGGCTCTTCAGTGGATACACAACTGAAGACAGGCCTGTCCCTCCCCCACAATCCACCAGTAGCCAGTAGTTCAGCAGGGAGGGGTGGGGCTCTGATGAGATCCATGATTGACTGTTTTTGTTTGTTTGCTTATTTTTGAAGCAAGATCTCACTGTGTAGCCCAGGCGGCTCTAGAACTCCACTGTAACACTAAGATTAAAGGTGTGGACCACTACACCCTCTGTGTGTGTGTGTGTGTGTGTGTGTGTGTGTGTGTGTGTGTGTGTGTGTGTGTGTGTGTGTTATCGCGCCCAGGGGGCCCACACAACGAGCGACAGACTAAACAGACACGTCTCCGTCCGTTCTTCTTTTGACCCCCTCGCTGTGCCCTGTACTCTCTCTGTGTGTGTGTGTGTGTGTGTGTGTGTGTGTGTGTGTGTGTGTGTGTGTGTGTGTGTGTTTTCTATAGCCCAGGGGGGCCTCAAAGAGCTCAAGTAGCAGAGCATAGCCTTGAACTCCTGATCCTGTACCTTCCCCAGCACTGGGATTATAGGGTGAGCCACCACACCTGGTGGCAGGCTTGTTTTCATTTTCCATTAATATACCCATGTGATAAGAATGTACTCTGTGTCACTGTTGTGCTAAGTCATTTCAAAGGACTGTTTCATATCCACACAACAATCTCACAGGATAGCATTTTATTGCTTCTTTACAGATAAGGAACACAAAGCCAGCAGAGCCTAGGTAGTATGCCTTACATCATACAGAGGAATTAAGTTCTGTTTTTCCTCTACCTCTTCTCTATACTTTGCCGTTCTCAAAAATAGAAGGCTCTGAAAACCTTAATTCTACTAAAAATTTCTATAAAAACCTCAACAGCCAAGGAACCCAGATGTCTGACTTTCAGAAAAATCATTTTTCACTCTAATATAACTGTTTTAGGGATGAGAAGATGTTCAGCCTCTAACATACTGTCACACAAGCATGAGAACTTGAGTTCAGATCCTTGGCACCCACATAAAAAACAGGCACAGTAGCATCTACCTGTAATCCCAACAGAAAAAGGGACAGCAGAGACGGCAGATCCCCAAGTTTGTTGGCCTACACACACACACACACACACACACACACACACACACACACACACACACACATACCATAATGGCCTCTCGGTACTGTAAACCTAGTCAAAGTCTTTGGCCAGGAAAGTCATAGGCCCTAGTGGGGAAGCTTCTGTTGTTTTGCTAAGTGGATGTAGTGTGCCCATCAAATTGCCTTTTAAATAATTGTGTTATGCCCATAGATTAGTGTTGCTATCAGTTTTGGTCAGAGAAGCTTCTTTTTGCAATGGGCAGCAATTAAGTGCAGACTCATAACTGGTTAAAGTGATGAGATTAAGTGACTATTCAATGCTCAGTCATAAATTAGACATCTATATTACCCCCTCCAAAGCTCCAGGGAATATCATGAAGAGAGAGCAGAAAGAATGTATGAGATAAAGGAAAGGCATTTTGTGGATTGCAGTCTTCTGGGCATAACGTGGTCTGCTGCACGCTTGAACTCACAGCAGCTGCCTGCACAAGACTGAGCCTGTCAATATCTTGTCATGGAGAGGGAAGGGGCTCATGAGGCCTCACTCCACCCTGAGGATTCACAGGCAGTTAATGGTTGATGGAAAAGGAAGAGACATTTTCTTCAGTGGTACCCAGGCTCCTGTAATCTCTCACCCATGCTTACCCTAATGAAACTCACTGAGTCACCATGAAAAAATGAAAATAAATGTAATAATAGAAAGAGGATTAATTTGAAAGAAGAAGGGGTTCAGCAGGAGTGGATGGGGGGCAAGAGACGGTAATGGGGTGAATATGATCAAAATGCATTATATACATGTAAGAAAATGTCATAGTGAAACCCATTTTTATGTATAATTATTATATGCTAACAAAAACATTAAAATAAAAACCACCATGGTCTCTCTGGAAATGATGGCACGCATCTATAATCTTAGCACTACCTGCAGAGGCAGGAGGCTCATACAAGTTCAAGGTCAGGATGAACTATACACTGTAAACTCTGGTCTACATAACAAGATCTTGTCTCAGAAACCAAAAACAGACAATCCCATAAGGGTCTCCTCTACTTCAAACTGCTTTTAAACTCCTATAATCCCAGCACTTGGAAGGCAGAGGAGGCAGACTGCCACAAGTTCAAGTTCAGTTTCAGTCAATCTAAACAGCAAGTGATAACAAGAACTACATAGTAAGACCGTAGAAGTGGGAGGGAGGGAGGGAGGGAAGAAAAAAAGAAAAAGAAAAGTCTTCCCTGGCCTTGGCTTTGCTCAGCTTACCTCTGGCTGGATCAAGGCCAAATCCTTCTCCCAAGCATGCAAATCATCTAAAAACCAGTCTTTATCAAAATTGTCACACCTTGGAATTATACTGCTCCTGGGCTTCAAATGATTTCTGTAGCAGTTATTAACATCTAGTCTTGGCAAATGGCCTGCTAGGCAGATGGAGAATACAAAGCAAGAGAGGAGGATGCCCTGGAGGACACAGCCTCCAGTGAGTGCCCTTCTTCCTTGCCCATCTCAATATTCCTGACTGTCATCCCACCTGGGAAGCTGTCCCTAGAAAAGACACACTGGAGTCAACTCTTAAAACCACAATATCCTGTCATTGACAAAACTTTTTCTAAACTGGACTGCAGCCATTTCAAGGACAGAGAGTACTATGTAGACCAGGCTGGCCTTGATATCACAGAGATCTACCTGCCTCTACCTCCTAAATACTGAGATTAAATACATGCACCACCAGCTGGACTATGTCCCCAGTATTAACCCAGGGCTTGTCTGCTGAAGATTCCAGATGTACGGATATGTCACCCTCAAGGCAGCAAGGGTAAATGCACCAAAATGGTAAGCCAAATAACACGAGTCCACAGGAGGATGACAACACAGGCAGGAGCAGATGGGCTAAGTCACTCTGCCAGGGCCTCAAAAGCAAGGCAGAGGGCTGTGATTTCTATGACATTTAGGACAGGGAATGGGAAATGTCAAAGTACACAGGGGTGGGAGGAACATCAAAGTCAAACTGCTGAATATGCAGATAGTCATAGGGTAGAGCCTGACCTCTGAGTCTGAGAAGGATTGACACAGATTGGTCAAAAGGTATGCAGGGAACACATAGATCTAGAGAAAGGCAGTTGGTAACTCAGAGTTAAAACCTATACCCTCACTGCCAGCCCCACACTCCCATTCTCCTTATCTTACTGTGTTTTTCTTTTCCCATGTCAGTTGTTACCTTCAAATATACTATACAATTCGCTGTCTTTGTCTATTGCTCCTTGCTAGAATGTAAATTATTTGAAGGCAAGGATCTTGGTCAGTGCTATTCATTGACGCTAAGAACTAGAACAGGGCCTGGCACAAATCAGGTACACAGTAATAATCTGCAGAATGGATGAATGAATACTGTAGTTTCATTCGTGTTAATGAAGGAAACGGGGGTAGCATAGGGCCAGCAAGACTGCTCAGCTGGTAAAGTGATTGCTACACAAGCCTGATGACCCGAGTTTGATCCCAGAACCCACATAAAGGTAGGAGGAGAGAACTGGTTCCTCACAGCTGTCCTCATACCTCCACACATGCACGTGTAAAGTGTGGAGGTGACGGGACAGCCAAGGGTTGTAGGCAGTTGCTTTGGCATTGGACCAGTGTACAGTGACAAATGAAAAGGTGCAGGGTGTGGGATTGGGGTTAAGAACTAGATAAGACAGGGTGTAGAGATGGCTCAGCAGTTAGCACATACTGCTCTTCCAGAGGACCGGAGGTCAGTTCCCAGCAACCACACTGGGTGGCTAACAGCCACCTGTAACTCCAGCTCCTGGAGGATCAGACACCTCTGGCTTCTGCAGGCACCTGCATGTACATGCATATGCCCCATACAGACACATACATATACACATCAAGAAATAAATAACTAGATGAGCCAACAGGATTTAGAAAGTTGTGGTTAAGAGGAAGAAAGGGATCAAAGCAAATGCCCAGGATCGGCCTCGCCTGCTTCCGCTCCCCAGGAACGCTCTTCTCACTGCCAGCTCCAGACTCACTCTTCCTTCCTCCTTTCCTTCCTCCCTTCCTCTCTTCTTCCTGCTTTGATTTCTTTTGGAGGCAAAGTCTCACTATGTAACCCAGGCTAGCCTCAAACTCATGATCCTTCCTCCCCAGTGCTGGGATTCCACACATGCACCAGCACACCTGGCCTGTCTTTTGACATGAAATCTGCACTCCTTGGAGCCACCTCTTCTTCCTCTCTCCTCTCTCCTGCGCTCAGTCCTGGGAACTGTCATCCTTCTCCATCCAGCCATTAAATGCTGGAGGACTGCAAGGACAGGCCTGACCTATTTCCATTCTCCCTTTGGGCTGCCCACAATCTGGCCCTAATCTCCTCCACGCTCGTGACTAATTGGTTACGTCTACAACCCAATGATGCCCAAACTCCTATCTCAAGCCCAGACCTCTGTTCTCAGCTTCGACATATGAAGCTAGCTGCCAGCTTGACCAGATAAAGGTCTGTTATACCCTCCCACTCTCTTTCCATGAACGACATTACATATCTCTTTGCGTGGTTATTTTATTCATTCCCATAAACTCCATGAAAGGAGGATTGTAGCCATTGCCTCTCAGTGGCTAACACAAGACCTGGCACACAGTAGTTTTATCTATTAAGAGGGTGAACAAATAAATGGCAGGTACTATGAAAACAAGATCTCCAGCCTCCATTCATTATCTGTAAACAGGGATTATCATAATTGCAACTCCTAAAATTATCGAGAATGAATGTGCCAGGCATCATGATGCAGGCCTTTAGTCCTAGCATTGATAGGCAGATCTCTGAGTTTGAGGCCAATATGTGCTACATAGTAAGTTCCAGGCCAGGCAAGGCTACATAGTGAGATTCTGTCTCAAAAAAAAACAAGGGGGGGGTGGGAGGGCTAGAGAGATGGCTCAGTGGTTAAGAGTACTGGCTGCTCTTGCAAAGGACCCAGGTTCGATTCCTAGCACCCATATGGCAGCTAACAACCGTCTTTAAGTCCAGTTCCAGGGGAGCCCGACTCCCCCTTCTGATCTCCACAGGCATTGCAGCATCAGTGCACTTACATACATGCAGGTAATATACCTATACACATAAAATAATAAAAATATTTTTTTAAAAAAGAATTAATGAAAGCTGGAGGTTTAACTCAGTGGTAGAATACTTGCTTTACATACAGGAAGCCTTGAGTTTGATCCCTATGCCACACACACAAAAATTAAATGTCATAATATAAGGAGCTTCTTTAGAACAGTGAAACTGGTGTCAGTTAGGCTTACTGATCCCTTCTCTGGATGCTACTGCCACAGCTGATGCTGTTATACTGAACCCAGCTCCAGGCTGCTGCCTGGTGTTTTCAGCCACCCAAACACCTGCCTCCCAAACCCACCAAAGCTTTCCCATGGGGGGGGGCAGGGCAAGGAGAGTGTCTCCCTCTGTGCCTGGGTCTGCACCAGTCCTGTGACAGGCATGCTCACTGCAAGTACAGACCGCACACACAGCAAGGCTGGGACAGAGGTATTGGGAGTCGAAATGCATTCTGAAGGGTGAGATGCCATGTACCAGGATGTCCAGTAGAAGAAGGCAGAGGGTGGGGACAGAGCTGTGGGACCGAGGCAGTGGTCCTCATGTACAAGGAGATACACATACCAACAGGTTTAGCAACAGGCACATTCCCCAGGTAATAGACTTGGAACTTCTGCACCAACTCATTCTTAGGCGCTGGGAATTCCACTGTGAGGAAAAGAGGAGGGTCAATGTATTCCTGTTCTGCATAAGTTGGACTTCTGCTCAGTCAAAGCCATCACTCCTATGCCGCCTCCCTCTAAAGCAGCCCTTCTACTTAATGTGATCCAAAGTATTCAGTCTCCATGTGCTCGACCCTCTGCGGTATCTGTCAGGAACCTGTGCCTCTTCTTGGGTCACCCCACCTTAACCAATAAAGGTGAGCTAGACAAGGTGAGGCTGTGACACTGACCTTGAAAAGGGACATCCACAAGTTTAGAATGGTCCAAGGACAATCCATTTACCAAGCAGCGAGCATTGCGCCGTTCAGCCATGATCTGAGGAAGGAGTTGAGGGGGGGTCTGTTAGAGCTTCATTGTCCTGAAGCCCCCCAGCCCAACTCAGCAGCAACCCTACCCACACCCTTGTAGAGCAAAGGTGTCAGCTAGCCCAGAAAGTGGAGGGGGCCGTGCCTTAGAGCAGATCTCATGCAGGCTGGTGGCGATGTTCTTGGCAGGTGCCTCACAGCGAAACACGTGGCACTTGAGCATCTGGGTCAGCTTATCTCGAGCTACATAGGCAAAGTCCCTGTTGGGGGAGGGTCACCTCAGTGTCTCCTGGAACCGCAGAGTGCTGAGCTTGGCCATCACTGCACCCTCATCCTCCCTGCCCAGGGCAGCTCCTACAGGGTTTCTGCCCTGATGTCCTGTAGGTTCTGCCTTCGGGAACTGGGGAGGGTAGACAGGCAAGCATGCTAAGGTGGGAGATGATGTCCAGCACAGCAGGTGGGAAGGGGCAGGGTACAGTAGGGGACCCTGGGTGTTTTGAGACATCCAGTCCAGGTGTGGGAGGGGGCAGTCAAGGCACACAGGTGTAATATACCTCTCTCTGGGTCCAGCAGCACAAGAGATGCAAAAAACTGAGTTAGAGAGGAGGCCTCTGACTGCTAGATGGATGAGCCTCCCCCACCCCACAGAACCCTGGGCCCTGCTCCCACCTTCCACTGTCCCGCCCGACGCCCCATACACGAATGCTGACGATGGGCTGGCTGTGCAGCAGCGCCTGGTTCTGTGGCTCCACCAGCTTCAGCGTCTCATCCTCCAGCTGCAGCAACAGATCCTTTCCCTGAAAGCCCAGGAGGCAGGCCTCAGTGGTACCCAAGGTGGGAAGGTGACTGAGTCAGCTTGGGGGCATTAGCCACTCCTGGGGAGGGGCAGGACTTGCTTAGCTGTCAGCTCATTCACCTGTGAGCCCCATTCTAATAAAGGTTGCATGTTCTTTCTTCCATGACTCTTTTTTATCATCCCCATCACTATTCGGCAACCATCCCTCATGGTCCCAGGCTCAGGTCACTCATCCATCCCACAGGGGCCCCACTTGAGCCAACAACCCCTCATGTCCCCACCAGCCCTCTCCTAGACAAGTCAGATCCCCCATATCTCATAAGTCCCTGCACAATCCCACATTATTATCACCTTACCCGGCTCAGGCCCTCACCTCCCCCCAACCCCCAGACATGGGGTCATGCAGATTGTTTTTGTGGTAGGAGAGCTGACGGATACAATTGTTGACTGCCACACTGCTTCGTCCCGGGGCCAACTCCTCCTCAGTCATCTCCACCCAGCCTAGAGAGCGCACGGCGAAACACTGCCAGACACAGAAGAGGGTGAGGGTAGAGAGCTAAATAGAAACTGGAGGTGCACTGGGCACAGGATGGAGGAGCTCCTGACTCAGGACATGGAGGTGTTCTGAACTAAGACAGAAGCTCCCCAAACAAGACATGGTCAGAAGAGATGCCTGCTGGCACACAGAGGCCCCTGAGATGACTGAGATAAATACTGAAGATCGTTCAGTTCAGACATATAGTCTTGTGCCAAGACTGTAAAGAACCCCTAGTTTGGGACCATTGCTGAGAGATGCCTCCAGAATGCAGCATGAGGCACTGTCCTGCACACAAGGGCCCCCCAGCTTATAAAATGGATGTTGGTCTTGAACAAACCTTGATCCCTGGTTTGGCATTCCGTGGGGGCAGCTTCTCCTCCTCCTGGGGTAATGGCTCTGGGCTAGAGGCAGAGAGGAACACTCAACACAGCACCCTTATACATGGAGCTGTCCTGGTGCCCCTTCTACAGAGATCCAGCCCACATCTAGTATCTGGTAACTCACCTGAGGCTCTGAGCTGGGAAGGGCAATGTCCCCTCCTCTGGGTCCTTCAGTCCTAGCTCCATTGGGGCCTCCTCATTAGGTTCATCCTTGGAAAAGGGATTGAGAAATCGGTCCCAGGATGAGGGCCCTTAGCCAGTTACCCCCCAACACACACACACACACACCAGTGACGTGGTCCCCTTATTTACCTTCCAAAACTCTCCTTCCTCAAAGCCTTCTTGGTGGGCAAAGCCAGTCCAGGTGAGCTAGAGAAAGAACAGGAGTAGAGGGTGATGGTTTATAGCATAGCCCCTCCACTCCCTAGCTAGAAACAAGCCACTGAGCCTCACCTGGGACTCCTCTTGGGGGCTGCTCCCCTGAGAGGGGGAGGCTCGACCTGGAGGCTCCCACTGGGTGGTCCCTGTTGGGATATGCCAGTAGTAGGTCCCTGAGGTGTCCTGGACCCTCATCCATCCAGCCGGCAGGTCGGAATCCGTCTCGAAGGCGTTGGGGTTCCAGAAGGAATCTGCCAGGTGGGAGGCTCAGTGAGGGTTAGCCCACTCAAAAGGCAGTCAGTAGATGTCTATGCCCAGTCCCCTGCCCAAAACCCCATGGCTAAGAAGGGGTTGGAAACGGGCAAAGGGCTACAGAATAGCATGGTTCCAGCTTGCTTCGAGAACCCACAGTTGTGTCACCCACACTGGGAGCCACCAACAGGAAATGTGGCTCAGATCTCCTCCTGGGCTGCTGCTGCCTAATGTGGCCACATGGAGGGAAAGAAGAAAGCAGAGAGGAAAGAAGGAAGGGGGCGGGTGTTGAGTGACCAGTCAACCTCCTCACATACATCATACATCATGCATATCCATATGTCAGGGTACATAAAGGCACACGTATCTCCAATCCTAAACACGTACATGTACATACAGACACACAACATATACAATCCTGCCATACACCTATGCCATCATAAACAGTCTACAGCAAATAGAAGATGCTAGCAGGTATCATACAGGTGTACATGTAAGTGCAGGAGCAAACACATATGCCAACATGTTACATGCTCATGCAGAGCTGTGCACAAATATAACTATATGTGCTAGCTCTGACACACAGGTGTGCACACACCACACCGCCATGACGTCAAACTAATGTGTGGGTCCCTACCACACAAGAGGTGGACACATACTCAGTACTCAATACATTTATCAATCCCTGCCACCTTTTACAGACACTACATTCATACTTTGTCCGCTGACCCCCCACACACACAAACTTGTCATGCAAACACATAGGCCAGGCATCTGTGATATACACTCCTCCCTGGTTAGAGCCACATCACTCACTCCTAGTCACCCAGCCCATGCGTCCTCCACGTCTGCTCTCTTTGCCAGCCCCACCCCACATCACACCCAGCCCCATGCTGCCCCTCACCTAGACTGTTGTCCTGCAGGATAATGGCCAGGAAGAAGTCCTGGGAGAACATGGCGCTTATTCCCGGCCCCTCCTGCCTCCACCCTCCCTCCTCACAGCCCCTCCAGTCCAGCCAGCTGGGCTCACAGCCTGGTGCTGGGCTGCAGAGAAAAGCTCATTCCACCCCCTTCTCACCAGGGCAGAGAGTCTGCCAGGCAAGATCCTCCTCCGCCTGGAGCTCCCAAGGGAGGGGCCAGGACCACCAAACTAAGGAACCTCCTTGGGGTGGGGATGGGTGAGGAAGCGGGGCTCATAAGACCCCAGCCCTTCCTGCTTTTCTCCCTTACCCTGGCTCCCCTCTCCCAATCCTGAATCTCTGTCCCACCCTCCAGGGGTCACATTAGAGCCACAGTTAAGCCAGTCTTAGGAACTCTAGGAAGCTGGTCTCTAGGGAATAATTCGCTCAGCCACCTGGAACCCTGCAGAACCTATAGCTCTCAACATAAACAGGGTGTGGCTTCAAAGGCCTCAGGGATCCCTTCCCTACCTAGAGCCTGTCCCGCACTTTGAACCCAAGGGTGGTCCTTGAGGGCCTAAGCCCTAGCAAGCTTGAGGGTTTGAGGTTTGCCAGCACCACCCCCCTCACCTGCCAGGGCCTAGTTAGGCTGCGGCGTCTCCTCGGCAACCGCAGCACCGGGATGGCTGGGAGTGCCCAGACTGCTGACGTGCTTCCCGTTACCAAGGAAACCAGGAATCCTGACTGGTCCAAGAGGCAGCACTGAGGGACATGCAGTCTCAAGACTCAGGCTGCTCGGTAACAAGGCTCAGAGGGGCTGGGAGCGGGCGTGGCTAGGCCAAGGTGTTTCCACACCTGATGTTAATCAGGCAGGGTGCTTCACCATCCTCAGTGCGCATGCAGGTGAAGTAAGTTCACAGACACTCAATGAAGAAGGGCTCTTGGCACCCAGCCGCCTTCCAGGTAGCCATCACTGTGTCTCCACCCTGACTCTCCGCTACATCCGACCCTAACACTGAGGCTCAGTAAATGCATGTTCCCCCAGGCCCTTCCCACATTGCCCTTAGGACTCTGTTACTCAAACCTTCCAGGAACACCAGCCCCCAGGGACCCTGCCCTCCACAGCCTGCCTCGTGGTGCGTCCAGCATTTCTGGAATCTGGAGGCCAGTTCACCATTTCCCAACTGAGGCACACACACAAATCCATCTGCCATCCCTGTCAGCCTGTGCCTTCCTGCTTCAAAGAGCTTCATCCTTCCGATCTGTCCTGGAGAGGGCAGCTCCTCCCACCCCTTGACCATCTGGGAGGCCCTTCTGGAGCTTGGCATGTCTCCCTCCAAGCACAGCCCACCCAGGCCTTTGCTTCTACACACATGCACATTTTCACTCCTGCATCAATTCCTGCAGGCACTCACAGGCATCCAAATGTTCCTAGTCCCTCCCACCCCTTCACTCATCCATAAATGCCTTAGTGGCTATGGCGAGTGTACCGGCTTGCTCAGGAATCTGAGATTCACCTAATGCTCTCCCCCTTCTCTCTACTCCACAGTCACTACTATGGTCCAGACAACTAGCATCTTTTAATCTGGATTACTGCGGAAGCCTCTCAACTGGTTTCCTTTCGCCTCATCCACCGTGGCTGCACACTATAGCCCAAATGGTACTTAGGAAATGCTAAACTAATCAAGTTACTCTCCAGTTCAACACGCTTAACTGCTTTCTCATTACCCTCAGGATAGAAACCCAAACTCCTCCACAGGTTTTATGTGCTGTTAAGAGCCCCTGGCTTTCTGCCTTTCAGCCTTATCTCTGACTGCTCCCCAGCCCTCTTATTTTCCTGCCGAGGTTCTTGCCATCACTCTACCTTCAGACATCAGTGAAAGGGGAGCCTCTTAAGACCCACTCTTCCCTGCTCCCTCATGCAGTCAAGGTGCTCTTCTGCTCCCCTACCCACCAGCTCATCATACTGACTATGACTAGCTGTCTATTTCTGTCTTCCTACTAGACTCTGAGTGCCAAGAGAGTAAGAACATCTTTCCCCTGTCACATCTGTTCTCGAATTTAGGACATGGCCTGGCTCAGAGTGTGGGCCCAACACAGGTAGTAAAGTTCATCCGTTCACCATTCATTCACTCAATTCTCTTAATTCATTCAGCCAATACTTTGTGGCGTTCCCAGGGCAGAAAGGAAAGAACAACTTCTGTTGGATCCTAAACCAATTCTACAGGAGCAGAACTCTGTGGCCATCATGGCCGATGCAACACAGGCAAGAAACAGTGGGCTGTAACTAGACCCCTCCGAACTAGGGGTGGCTTTCCTCTACACTCAACTCTTAGAATCCATCAAGACACATCTCCTCTCATCCCTTCCAAGGCCTAGGTGAGATTACTCACCATGCTCGGCATACCTTCCCTAATTCAGCAGTGCCACCCTCCCATCCCCAGCAGATCAGAAATGCAGCCACCAGTGACCACCCCAGAAGCCACTAAACAAGAAAGCCTCTAACTGGCCAATGACTCACTTCCCCATGGTCACCAGCTAACCACCTGTAGTCTGAGGAGTGATGCAAGCCTCAAAGAGATTTTGTGTGACCCTCACAGAGCTTTTGAAAAAGAGAATTAATTACTGACATTTAGAAACTGGGATAGTCTACCTCAATATCTTTCAGCTTGAACATCTTTTCCCCAAATTGAACCCAATAAATAACCAGCTAGAGTAAAACAGAAACTGATCCCTTGATAGTGTTAGGAAGGAGACACTGACCACCAGAAATCACTAGCATCACAAAAAGAGAAGTGAGTAGACTTTATCTTTGGTAAGGTACCACCTATGAGGTGTCCTTGCAAAAAAAAAAAAAAAATGCCACTCAAATCAGGACCTAATCAAGTCTCTGGAACTGTCTACTAGTTTACAGGAAACCCAGGAGAAGAGCAATACATTCAATACAACTCAGGAAGAGAGGCTGAGAGACGCAGGGCATGGAAAACTCAGGACAGAGAACATGGCTTCATCAGGAAAACAAAAGTCTGCAGAAAACAGAGAGGTGGAGGGTGGATTTATACACCAAAAGAAAATTAAGGGTGTTGTGGCTCAAGTCTGTAATCCCAGCACTCAGGAGGAAGAAGCAGGAGGAGCATCACAAGTTTGGGGCCAACTTGCTCCACAGAGTAAGTTCTAGTCTACTAGTCTAGCCAGAACTACATTATAAGACCATAACTAAGAAAAAAAACAAGCAAACAAACAAACAGTTTGAGGGCCAGCAAGATGGCTCAGCAGGCAAAGGCACTTGCTGCCAAGTCTGACGACCTGAATTTGATCCCTAGGACCCACAGAGAAAAAGAAGAGAACAGACTCCCACAGATCGTCCTCTGATCTCCACAACTGTGATATGGTGCATGCACACGCACACACACATTCACACACATACACACATGCACAATAAATAAATGAATGTTTAAAAACAGAGAAGCTTTAGCAAGCATGTCTACCATGGGCCTATTTGGATACCAATTCACACAATCCTAATCTTTTCGAAAGGCTAGGTGGGACATTTATTTGACAACTGGAAGAATGTTAACATTAAGTGAATATTTGATGATATTAAGGTTCAGGTGTTTTAGGTATTAAATAGAATCATGGTGCTTGCTTTTTAAGGGCTTTCTTTTTCTCTTCCAGAAATGTATAGATAAACATCTTTAGATAAATGTAAGTAAAACAAGTCCTCAGCGTGGTGGCACAGGCCTTTAATCCCAGCACTTAGGAGGCAGAGGCAGATGGATCTCTGTGAGATCAAGTCTACCTTGATCTACATAATGAGTTCCAGGCCAGCTGTGGCTACAGGGAGATAAAAAACCAAAACAAAACAAAGAAAAAAAACCCAAAACCAACCAAATATAAGTAAAACAAGGCTAGATATGCTGGCTCAGGTCCAGAATCTCAGCACTCTGGAGGCAAGCAATCCCTACACGTTTCAGGTCAGCCTGGGTGACTCCGAGTGGGACTGTCTCAAAATGAAGAAAAAAAATCAATCACCAAGTAGCCTATACAGGGTGCAGAGATGGGTAGGGTATAGATCAGCAAGATGAACTATGTATTGATAATTATTGACACTGGACCATGAATAAATCAGACTCATTTTGTTATCTCTACTTTTGTATGTGCTTAAAAACAGTCATAGTCAAGGTCTTCAGAAAGAGATGGGATGCAGCTCTAGGGCATCAGACTGTAACTCCATGCCAAGAATCAAATTAGTGGTGGTGTAGATGTGCTGCCTACTGCCTTGTGAGGTGAAAGTTAGTCTGAGTGTCTCTGTCTCCTCCCCCCGTTCCCCCCAGCCTTGGCACAGAACCCAGGTCACATGCACTAAGTGATCCAGCACTGATCTATGTGCCTAGCACCCTCATCCACAGATTTTCTGAGTTATGGCTACAGTCTTAATTAGCTCTACACTGTGTAACATTAGCAAATGTAGATAGAGCCTCGACTTTTTAAAATAAGACACATTTCATGATCAGTCTTTAGAATCTGTTATCTATCTCTCTCCCCACAAGGAAACGTGTTTTTATTGTTTCTTTCTTCCCTTTCAGTCAGTATCTCATTCCTGACAAAACTGTTCCTTGCAATGGCAGCTCAGTGCTCTGCATGGGGCATGCGAATCATAAGCACAAACACCTCCACACTCTCCAGACAGACTTCTGTGGGGAAGTGCTAGCTGCTCCCTCCAAAAGAGGGCACACTGTCCCAAGCCCACCTCAGTGCATGGTGCTGTATGCACTGGGGACAGTGTAACATGGGGCTCAGAGCTCAGGCCTGAACGTAGACCTGGTTTAGATCTTAATTCTGCTACAACTCTAGACTGTCTGTGACCTTCAGGAAGCACAAAACCTCTCTGAGCCTTTTTCGCCTCATCTGTAATACAAGCATAGAAACAGTATCTACTTCATAGCATTAGTCTAAGTATTAAATACTATAATGTTGAGCAGAGGGCCAGTTACTTAGTAAGTGCTCAATAAAGCACGATATCATCCACATATCGACCACGACAGCAAGTGTCATGAATATGCCCACCCTTCATGACATACGTAACGGACAGATCTACCAAAGTGTTCAAGCACGCTCAAAGTGAGAAAACTTGGACTGAGGACACAGGCTTTGCAACTCATGTTCAAGCTGACAGTGGCCTCTGCATGAAGAAGCCTGGCATTTGACTCTGTGCCCTCCCATATTCCCATATTTAGCTCCACAAGGTACCTGTGTCCTCCGGGGAGCCATAGGAGGGGCTGCCCTGGGATAAGGTAGCCCAGCTCGAGTCCTCGTCGCTGGCTGCACTATTCCTCATGCCAAAGAGGAGGCTGGCACTCTTGCTGTGTTCCCGGGGGCCATCTGTAAGGGCTTGGGGTCCAGGGGGGACTTCCACGCTCTCCAGGGGCTCGGGCAGCCCTGGAGGAGAAGACAAGTCCTCCTCCTCTTCTTCTTCTTCCTCGTCTTCATCATCCTCCTCAGCTTCCCCTGCTGCCTTCTCCTCTCCCTCATCTGGTCCCTGCTCTTGGGTGCTGATGATCAACCCAGGTCCACGAAGCCCTCGGTTGGCTGCATTGTGGGCTGAGAGCTCTAGCTCAGAGTATAGGTGCATCAAGCCTTTGGGACCCAAAGGTGCTGTTTCAGCCTCCTGGCTGGCCTCTTCTGCCAAGGTCAAGGTCACATTGCGGTTCTGGTCACGGTGGGCTGTGGCAGCTCTTCGAAGCTGGTTCTGGCCTTCCTTTAGCCACTTGGCATTGGCAGGGCCTGGCTCAGGCCCACCACCTTCCCCCATGGCACTACGCAGGTCCTTGGGTCCCACAGCCGTTGCCTGCAGTTTGGCGTTGAGCAGCTGGTTGTGGGCAGCATGCAGGGGCAGGGGCAGGCTGAGTGCAGGGCCTCCGTGGCTGTTGGCATTAATGGCCGACTGGCTCAGTGATGATGGAACAGACATGGCCCTAGTAGATCCTGTGAGATGGGGAGAAGAGACCATGTTGAGTGTCTTGCTTCTGCCCTCCTATGCCCTGTCCCTATTTTCCTGTGCCCAGTAAGCCAGTACACACCACCAATCCATGCCCCATAAGTACATTCCCATGAGAATGATGGGGCTCAACATCTGTCCCTGCAGTCTCACCCCTATCACAGGCCAGGCCCAGCTCTGCAGCTCATCCCATTCCCAACCCCTAGCCCTGGGCATTCTGGGACAGCACAGCCAGTGCCTGCTCTCCCTTCACCACCAAGGGCCGAGCATCCGACAATGGTTCTCTGTGCACTCTCCCCACTTGTCTAACCGGGGCTCACTGTGCCAGGGACACAGCCGCACGGGACAGGCTCACTGATTGCCTCTTTGCTCCTGCCACAGTGCTTTCTGGAACCTCATCATTGAGAGCCCCCCAGTTGTGTTCCTATCATCATAAATCACTGAGGTCAACCAGCCCTAAGCCCACTCTATACTAGGAAATGGTCACACAGGAATGACGGGTGTATAGAGCCAGCCTTCCAGGCATGGTCCAAAGCAGGTCACAGAGAAAAGGCCTCAGCTTTAGTTCTTGGCTCCTTAGGCCAGTGGAAGCTTCAAAGACAGCGACTGTCTATGAATTATCTTACCTGGGGCAGCAGTTTCCCCTGCCAGCCCTTAAAATGCCTGGGTCACCTCAAATGCCTTTAATCTGGATCTTCGAACTTTTCAGGTCTTTGTCCAAAGGTCACTTCATCAAGAAGACCTTCCCTACACACCCACTTTTAAACTGTAAGCTACCTCTCCCCTCCTCAGCAATTCCTTAGTCTTCTCAGACACAAATCAGCACCTACTACACTAATTTAGCATTTGTTTATTAATGGTCTCTTTATGGCTAAGTTCCATATTGGTGAGGAGTTTGCCTTTTTTAAAGAAGCAACACAGTGTCCTCAGTCTTTAGCAATGTCCTAACAGAGTAGGAACTCAATAAACATTTATTGAATGAGTATACAAATGTGTCCTCCCATTTCCCCAGGCCCCATTTTAGCCTCTCCTCAGAAAACACTGGTTCTGTCTATGTCTCAGTAGTGGATCATGGTGCCCCCAACCAAACTCCTAGCCTGCAGACCAGAATGTCACCCACTCCTCTGGTACCCTCCTCACAAGCCCCCAGAAGGACTGGTCCTTCCAGTCCTTCAGCCCAGGGCCTCCCCTCACTGTCCCTGACCTGTCCTGCTACTCTTCTTCCATGACCCTGCTCCCCTCTTGGAACCCTCACAGTCTCCCCATCTCCTGTGTCTTTCTCCCTGACCAGTCACTACCCTTCTCTTCCTTAGCTTGAACTCTCACTGAAATCCTCCCCCAGCCAACCCTACTGTTACTCTCCCTCCCTGATAGCCTCATGCAAAGCTCCCTCTTCCAACTGGACCCTTCCAGGCATACAATCCCCAGCACCCTGACAGGCACTGCAGTTTCTTCTTTCTGACACCCACTGTGCGGCTTTCTCCTCAACATCTTCTTCTCTGGCTTCCGTATCTCCCCATTTTCCAGCTAAGATGCTGGTCCCTGGCTCCCCACTGCCTCAGTCCTCTCTGATGCCCACAGGGAGTACAGGTGTTCCAGTGAGCCTGAACAAGGCTTTCTGTCTCTCCAGGTGTGGTGCAGGATCCTGAGACAGAAGCCACAATCTACTATTTCTAGTTCCTGAGAACCTAGGACAATGCTAGGAGTACAGCTGTCAAATAAATCAGAAAAGGCTTTTGTCCATGTGTCTACCTCACATGTAACTGTTGGTCCACTCTGTATGGTTCCATCTGGGCAATGAGGAAACTCATAGCTGAAGGAATAAATGAAGGAAAGAAAAGAGGCAGCTCTGCCTCCACCCAGAACCACAGTAATCTTCCAAAAATGGAAACCAGATTGTGTCACTCCCTGGTTCACAAAATTAAAGGGCTCACCACTGCCTCTAGGATAACGTCTGAGCTCATTTATCAGGATACCCAAGAAGCCCCTGGAGCCAAGCCCCATGACCTCTCAGATCTCCTCCTCCGCCCCTGCCTCCTTCACACTTTATACTCCAGCCACATGAACTATGGCAGATTCTGGAACATGTCACAAATGTCAAACAAAGCCCCGGGTCTTTGTTTACACCGTTCCCTCAGTCTGGAATCCAGCCCCCTTTGTGAGAGCCTCTTCTTTCTTATATTTCAAAACTTAGCTCAATTGTCAGGGCCTCTAAGCAATCTTTCCTGTTCTCCTCCCACCTTCAAAGGACTGTCCCTTTGTGCCCCACAACACCCAGTATCACATGCTAACAGAACATCTGAAACTATGTTGTACTCACTATTGCAATACCATCACAAAGGAGAATACGTTGTGTGTCTGCCAGAGTGCCCACTGTGTGGTAGGAAAGGACGGATGAAGGGGACAGACACTGAGGTGTAAGGAAGTAACTAGGAACCAGGAAGCTTAGAACTTTCTGGGGTCAGATACCAAGAATGCTAGTATGGTCCTTTAGGCTAGGATGGGCAAGGGCAAGCTGAGGGAGGGTGCTGGACAACGGTGAAGGGGTCCTGCCAGGAAAGATGGGACAGGAGTCCTGGACAGGTGAGGCTGAAGTCTAGGAAAAGAGGGAGATAATGGGCTTAACACAACACCTGGCTTAAAGACTTCAACAGCAGCATCTCCCTGGCTCTGGACAGCTCATAGGCACTCGGGGACAGTAAGCTCTTCTCTGCAGCAGTGATGAATGAAGCCACGTTTTTGACAGGTCAGGCTGGGACTGGCCTTCTTAACAAGTGTGCTTTGAGAGGGCACATGTTCTATGACACTAATGCATGAAAAGTCAAGATGGCTTTAGGGAAGCCCTAATAATCTGGGCACTGGGGCAGAAAGCAGTTGGTGTGGGACAGGGGAGCTCTGCTGTAGGTGCTGATGTCTGGCTGTCTAGCCTGAGGCTGTGTGGTCACCATCTTTTTATTTTTTGAGGTTAAAAAAAAAAATGACTGGCTGCCCAGTTCCTTCAAGATGGAGCACAATCCAACCTCTCCTCTCTGAATGAGGTATCTATGCCCAGGACATCTCGATGAAAAAAGGCCAGTGATATGGCTCAGCAGGTAAAGATGTTTGCCACCAAGTCAGATGATGCGAGTTGGATCCCCAGCCAGGACCCACACAGTGAGTCTCACTTCCACAAAAGGTTCTCTGATCGCCACAAATGCACTACGGCACACACAGCTACACAAACACACACACATATAAAGAAATGCTTGAAAACATTGTTTTAAAGGATGAAAGAAGCTAACTGGGTTCTGGCTCAAGGCAAGATCTTGGGATAGAGACTAAAAAGGAGAAAGCCTGAAGGAGCTTGACATCAGACCACAGGGGTGTGAGCTGAGTCTTGCTCAAAGTCAGGGGTCTTCCAACCTGACAGCTTACAAGATGCCAGGCCCTGTGTGAGCCACGAGGGAGAGTACGAACAATAAGGAAAATGGTTCCTCCCCTGGAGGAACTCACTCTAGGGACAGTCACTGAATAACTCCTTCAAGTATCGTAGGATGTGACTCTCTGGAACAGTGACTGGTACCTATAACCACTTCTTTAAATTTTTGATGACATTTATTTTGTGTGTGAGTCCACATGTGCCACAGCACATGTGTGGCAGTCAAAGGACAACTTACAGGAGCTGGTTCTCTCCTTCTACCATGGGGGTCCTGGGGACTGAACTCAAGCTGTCAGGTTTGATGGTAAACACCTTTACCTGTTGAGCCACCGCGATAGTCACCTATAAGCACTTTCTATTTGTGGAACAAGTGGTGACTGCGTATTCTGATGGAGAAGAAACAAGATACCACTAGAGCCAAGGGCTTAGTCCAGCCCCACCGTGTGGTGTCAATGAAGCCTGGCTGAGCCTCAACCAGAACTCTCTTAGACCATTCCTCAGCTCTCCCAGCCTCTCAAACACAACCTCCTCTCCAAATTCACAAAAGAAAGCAAGTAATTAGTTGCAGCTACATCCTCAAATACAGAAACTTGCCAAGTTTGTTCTCCTTTCTCTTTCTACCCAAAACCAAGTGCTGCCCCTATCACTTAGATCGTTCCTGGATGCCTTTCTAGGATTTCACATCTTAGTTTATCTATTTTATCTTCTACACATCCAACCTCTTCTTTTCAAGGAGATTCACAATCTCCCAACTTGAAAACAAAATCTTTCTGGACCTTTCCAGGCCTCCTCACTGCTCTGTCTCCCACCACCCCACCCCTAAGCAATCTTCCTGAAACTCACTACTCAGGTGCCATTTCCTCACCTCCCCTTCCTCAGCCTTTTCTAACCCTGCCTCCATCCTCAGCACAACTTGGTAACTGCTCCTAATAAGGTCCACATGGCCCCCCGATGGAACTGAACCCAGTAGATGCTTGGTCACCTTGGTTGCTCTCTCAGCAGCATGGCCCTATGAGTCCCACATCCAATGGTCATTCATAGCTCCCGAGCTCTGCATTCCTGACTTTCTTTCATCTGGCTCCTGTTTGTTGCCTGTAGACTTTCTTGCTGCCTCATCTTTCTCAGTCATTATAGGCTGAGTTTCTCACAGCTTGCTTTTATGCCCCTTTCTTTCTTGTCTGATATTCAGTAGAAGTATTCATCCACATCCACGGTCCATACACTGGTGATCTCCAAATTGACACCTTCCTTTCAGCTCCCTCATCTGAGTGCCAGACATGTACATTCAATTTTCTACCCAACAACTCCATCTGGATGTCCCAAAAGCCTCTCAAACTAGTATGTTCATTCATATTTCTGACCCCAACCCCCTAACTGGTTCAGGATGTGGAATCATGGGATGAAATAACCACCCATCCTGTTGTGCAGAGATGGCAGAAATGTTCATTCCTTATCACAACCTTCTCCCTCATTGCCTATATTCAATCCTTTCCCAGGTAATGATAATGTTCTCTCTGAGAAAAAAAAAATGTCTGGACTTCATCTACTCTGCACCTCCACTACCATCCACAATCTACACCAGGGTCATAGAATTAAGATCAAAATCCTTAGCATGGTCTGAATTATCCTGTTGGCCTGACCTCTGCCTTCTCCCCCTCTAGCCCTAACTCTCGTTAGTCACCTCTCCAGCCTAAGCAGCTTTCTGATTCCTGGAAGGCATCATGCTCCCTCATTCGACATGATTTCCCTTCTGCCTAGACCTTCAACCCCTGTTTTTGTTTTTTGTTTTTTGGGTTTTTTATTTGTTTGGTTGGTTGGTTTGTTTTTTTGCCTAATTAACCTATTCTTCCTTTACATTTAAGTTCAAAATAACTGTTCCTCAGAGAAGCCTTCCTTGACCTCTTCTTTCTCATTCCCCAGGTCAGTTTAGTTTCTGTTCTTTGGGGCTCTCAAAATACCAGGTATCTTTTCTTCATGGTATTTATCACATTTACAATGTTTTTCTTAATAGGTTTCCCTCATAGGCTGTCATTTCTATGAGGACAAGGACCCAGTCTATTTTGTTCATTTATTAATTACAACTTTTAATGCAGTGCCTTGTAAATATTAAGTGCTTAAATCTTACCTGTTGAATGAAAAAACAATCAGATGCACTTTTAAAAGGAACACTTTGATGATAGCTAAGCAGAGGTAGGCAAGACGGGATGCTATTTGAGAAGTCAAGGGGAAAAAAGAGTAGTGGCCTACACTAAATTTGACAGGAACTGGAATGTAGTGAAATTAATAGATATGAATAATACTGAGGTGGTATGACAGAACTTGGTGAAATCTGAGGTAGAGGAGTGATGGAGAAAGGTTAATCTAGACTGTTGCCGGGGGTCCCAGCCTGACTGACAGGAACCTAAACTGAATGGAAAGTAGGCATTTCTGAGGTTTGAAGGAAAAAGAGATTTGGAAGTAAGATACAGAGGGAACAAGAGAGGACCATTCATCCTGGAATCTGTAGGTTTGGATTCCTGTGGGCCTTTCAAAAGGATATGAGGGGACAGCTGTGTATATATGAGTCTGGGTTTCAGCAGAGTGGAATGGGCCAGACAAATCTGGGACTCCACGGGCTTATCCATGAAAATTGAAGCCTTGGAAATAGAGGAAATACTCGGGCAGAAAGGGCAGAATGAGAGGACAGCTCAGGACAGAACCCACCGCTGGGTCCCGCATAGGCAGAGAAGAGGAGAACACAGGAGACCGAGGCAGGCACACAGTGCCTAGGGGAGAAACCAAGGAGACGCAACGGACACACCAGCTGGACCCAAAGGAAACAGGATCGCAGCAAAGAGTACACCTGAGTGAGTTACATGGAGCTCTTGGGTGACCTTGGCGCGGAAGCTTCAGTGGATGTCAGGGGCAGAGTGGAGTGGTTTCAAGAATGAATGGGAAGTTGGGAAGTGTAGACAGTTTTTGCCTTTGCAGGGTGGGTAGAGCTGAGACCATAGCTGCCTGGGCTCAGAAGGCAGAAGACAAACAGAACCCAAAATAGAATGGGAATAACCTCTGAACTGAAGAGAGGAAAACTGCTCCTAAGGAGTGCTCCAGCCGGTACTAGGCCGCTGGGCTGAGCTGGGGACATAGCTGGCCCCAGAGCACACCCCTCGGTCGCTGAGGGCAACAGAATGCGGCTTGACACATCCTCAGGCCTGGGACGCCCGCAGGAATCCGCGCGGCCTGCCTCCCATCCCACCCCACCCCACCCCACCCCACTTCCCCATCCCAGACCTAGACCTCCCCTCCCCCATTCTCCCGTAGCCCCTCGCTCTGGTCCCCCTGTGCCCTCCCACAAGGCATCCAGGAGGACCAGGAGGCAAAGACCTGGGGAGGGGTCGGTTTGAGGACCAAAGTGGATCCGGAGAGAGGAAGACAGGAGGGTGGGCTGAAGGCCGGCGGTGGAGGGTGGCCGGGAGGGAGGGGGAGAGGGCTGGCGGGCTGGCGGGGGACCTTGACCGCTGCGGTGGAAAGGGCTGCAAGGCCCGCCGGCTGCAGGGGTTCGGGACCTGGCTCCTGGGGCTGGGCCCTGGCAGGGGCAGCTCCTACCTGCGCGGCGAGGCCCCAGGCCCAGGTGACGAAGGTGGCTCAGGCTGCAGGGCTCCAGCTCCGCCGCGGCTTCTCCATCACAACATCCCCCGCCCAAGAGCGCGCAGGCCGCGGGGCCGCGCCCCGAGCGGCGGAGGCGCGCGCGGGAGGGGGAGGAGCGCCATCATGGCCGCTGCGCGCGCAAGCCCCCTCGGAGCTGTACCGGCTGCGCTACCCCGGCCGCGCCCTGCAGGACCCTGGTCCGCCCGCCAGGCCCCGGTCCACACCTCCAGGCCAGCCTGCACCCGGCTCCCCAGGACCTCTGCCCAGCGTGGCACCGCCCTCCACTTCCATGCCACCGACTCACCCTGCGCGTCCGCGGGGCCTCCGTCCTGCACAGGCGCCGGGAGGGAGACGCACCCCGAGCTGGGAGTCTGATCCGCTGAGCTGTGCAGGGACAGCGAGGAGAAGGCAGCTCTCCCGGTTCTTGCGGCAGCACTCCCTGACGTCCTGGGGATAATAATAGCTCGCATTGATTGACCGCTTACACTGTGCCAGGCTCCGTGTTGAGCCGTTTACAAGCATTCATCCCCAGATCAGCCCTGTGCAATCGCCACAATCCGTATTCTCGGTTTTCAGAGGCAGATGCCGACATTCTGAAAGGTAACGAGGCTTGCCTGCATTAAGTGGCGAAAGCAGACCGGAACTGAGATGTTTACCCCTGCTGATGAACATAGAGCGGTGACATGAGGCCCCCGCAGTACCAAGAGAAAAATTGCTCCCGGGTAGAAACTCCCAAGAGGGAAAAGACGAAGTGGAGAATGTGAATGGGAACTGTGAGGAAGCTGGTGGGATGCAGTATTCGCTGCAGGCCTTCCTTGGGCAGTGAGACCAAGCTTAGTGGTCGGATCGCTGACCCCAGAGCCCATCAAAAATAATGAGGGGCAGTGTTAACAACCAGAACCCCCGAAGACACTCTCTCCTTAAAGTGGAAGCTTCAAGTTGTTGAATCTCAAAAACTGATTGAAGATGTGCCTGATAAAGATACCCAGATATAAATTCATTACTCCTTGTATTCTAAGGAATCTAAGTCTTATAAGGAATTTCCCTGGTGTGAAAAGGTTCATACACACACACACACACACAGTCTGGATGCAGGTCCATCCATCTTATCAATCCTTGGCTTGCTCAAAGCAGAAATTTCAAGGTTGTCTTTGACTATAAGTGTTTTCACTTTTCACTATGGATATTTTCACATCTGTGCAGGAACGGAGCAGTATAATAAACCATCCTATGCCTATCATTCATCTTACACAGTTACTGACTCATGGCTAAGACTACTGTAGTCTGATAAATGCCTATGATCTCCAAACCATGTTGGGGCCCAAGCAGGCCATAGGGATTCAAAGATGAATCGAGTTTAGCTGTAACCCACTGGAGGACATGACTTCTGACCTGAGTACTTAGAAAATCAAGGGTTACCCAAGAGAACAAAGGCATCCTCATTTAGTCATTGACTACCAACAAATAATTACAAGAGAAACAAGGTAGACTTCCTGCTTTCATGTAGCTTAAAATTTAACCGAGAACCCAGGCAGCATGGTGGCACATGCCTTTAATCCCAGCATTAGGGAGATAGAGGCAGGTGGCTCTCTGTGAGATAAAGGCCAGCCTGGTCTTCATAGTGAGTTTCAAGCCAGCTGAGGCTACAGGAAGACCCTGTCTCAGGAAAAAAAAAAAAAAAAAACACGAGGAAAAAGACACAGAACAAGTAATTAGAAATGTGACGATTATCTTAAAGAAGATGTAAGAGCGTTACGTGAGTAGGATTAATCTGGCCTGGGAGATTTGGAAAACTTCCACAGGAAGTGAGATTAAGCGAGGGAAAGGGATGAAGCAGAGGTCAGGCAGAAGAAGAGAAAATTATCCCAAGTGACAGACCTACAGGGAGAGCATGGGTGTTGCTATAGGTTGAAGGTTTCCACTAAAACTCAGGAAGATTATAAATTTAAGGCCAATGTGAGTTACATAATCTCAACCCACCCTGCCCCCCCCAAAAGGGATGATAGGTTATGAGGGTCCTGCTCCTATAGATGAGTTAATCCATTCATGGGTTAAAGGATGAATGGGTTATCTGGAGAACGGGCTTGGTGCTAAAGCCAGTTGGCTTTGTCTCCTTTATGCACTCCTCTCCTCTTGACATGTGATGCCCTATGCTATCTTGAGACCCTGCAGAGTCCTAAACAGCAAGTTGGACCTCACCAGATGTTCACTTTGACCTTGGACATCCTAGACTCCAGAACTATAAGCTGAATAAGCCTTTTTACTTTTTTAATATTTTTATTGAATTTTTGTGTAATTCATACAGAACATCTTAATCATCTTTATATCCCCTTCCCCAGTGACCCCTTTCCATAGCTCCCCAACTTGAATTCATACATTCTGTCATTTGTGTTAAAGCCTATCATGTCAAGTTAGTGTCCCCAGTTGTCTCTCAGTGCAAGTTCATCCACTGACGTCTAGTCAGCCTATCTAGAGTTCCTTCATTTAAGAAGATCAGCTCTTTCTTGCTGAGCAGTAATCAGTTGCCAATAATTCTCTGAATAAGACTGGGGACTGCTGTCCATTTCCACAGTTCTGTGCTGGCCTTATGTATGCTGACACCATTGATGTAGGTTCGAATGAGAAAAGTACCAGGAGCCTATAGAGCTCTATTTCCATATGGTCATGCACCTTCTCCCTAGTTCTTACAATTTTTCTGCCCCTTCTCCTGCAATGGTCCCTGAGCCCTGTGGGTGGGTGGATTTTAATATAGGAGACCTGTCCAAGGACACTGACTACAAAAATTTAAGGCTCCATATTTTGCACATAGTAAGAAATTACATTTGTTTAGGGTTGTGACAGCCTTGGGGTTTTTTCAAAGATCTATGACCTCTCCAGCTATGTGTATTTGGCTAGGTTTACAGTACCACACCTGAGTTTCCTCCCATTGAATGGGTTTTAAGTCCAATTAGGTAGGTTTGATTACCCCCAAGATAAAACTGCCACTATTGTACCAATGTCATTTGCTATGCTGGTCATTGATGTGATTTTTAGGCCTTGAAGCTGGGGTTGGACCATCAATTGATGTTCTCCCTTAGCAACTTGTGTAGTGCTCTCCAAAGCTATGAGAGCTAGCCTTCAGGGATGGTAGGTTCCTGGTCAGTTCCAAAATCCCGTGTTCCAAACCCTGTGTCTGAAGTACGTCCTGTCTTCAGCAGGAGGGTCTTACCTTCAAGTTCTGGGAGGCAATCAAGGGCTGTGGCAATAACCTGTATAATTTTGGGAGTCTCTTGAACTACTCTGGCCAACAACTCAAAGGAAGGTTTCTCCTGTCTGGCACTGTTTCTTGTTATGTAGCCTTCAGCCATACACGTGGACTCATGTAGAGATATTGTATGTGTAATTTTTCTTTTTCTTCTACAGGGTCTCCCTGTAGCCCCAGCTAGCCTGGAATTTGCTATGTAGACCAGGATGGCCTCAAACTTACAGAGATCTGCCTGCCTCTCCCTCCCAAATGCTGGGACTAAAGGCGTGCACCACCATGCCCAGCTCTATGTGTAATTTTTCAGTAGGCTTTTGGACTAATATGATTCCCTCTGGTGTTTTATACTAGCTAGGCACTATTTATGTCTCCTCTTTCTCTCCCTGTCTTATCCTCCCACCATCCCCATTTAAAGTGTCCTCATTTTCCCTATTTCTCTCTTGTTAATTCTTGTCTGGTGTAGTCCCACCTCTCTTGAGCTCCTTCTTCCCCTTAATTCCCATAGTTCCTTCTATAGCTCTCCTTCTCCCCTTCCCATTTAACTACCCCCATTTTACACATTTCTCCCTTAGTAATGGCTATCTCTTACTATTGAGTCTGTGTTACTTCATTTAGTATAATAGTTTCTAGATCCAAGATCCATCCATTTACCTGCAAGTTTCATTATTTCATCTTTCTTTACTGCTGAGTAGAACTCCATTGTGTAAATGTACCACATTTGTGTTAACCACTTGTCAGTTGAGGGACACTTAGGTTGCTTCCATCTCTTAGCTATTGTGAAAAAAGCAGCAACAAACATGGTTGTACAAGTGTCTCTGCAATAGGATGAGTCCTTTGGGTATATACCAAGGAGTGGTATAAGTGGGTCATATGGTAGGTTCATTTTTAGAGCTAAATAAACCTTAATAAAGAACACTGTAAATAACCCAACCTGTGGTATTGAGTTATACCTACAGAAGATGTACCAAAACAGATGTGATCATGAAGAAGAATGGCATAAGCGATGGAAAGGGGGGAAGGAGCCAAATCAAGTTGTGTCTTGCATTGTTAATTGAGTGTTCTGAACTTTAAGGGCAGTAGAACATCATCAGAGTTTAAAGTATGAGGATGGAGAGTGTGATCTTTCGGGTGCTGAGGGAGAATAGATAGAAGGTCAAAGTTGGAATGGTAGAGACTACTTAGGAAGCAATTAAGGTGGTCTAAGTGGGAAATGATGATGGCCTGGACTATAGCTGTGGGATTGGGAATAGAAAAAAATTACATAGTTTTAATAACTATTTCAGAGGTAGAATTCATAGAAATTAGTTATCAAGTAATTGGTTGACTATAGATAATTCAACCAATTCATTGCAATGACTTCCAGGTTTTTGCTTTGACAGTTGAAGAAAGACAGAAATATCACCCCCTTAAAATGGGCCACCAAAATATTTGTCCTCAAAATCTCATGGAATATGAAGCTGGGATATTCAGGGAAATCTCAGGTAACTGCAGGGACATGAATAGTATGATGAGAATGGGGAGAAGAGTCTAATCAGCCAGAGTACAGAAAGAAGATGTGTGGTTCATATGGACAGCTTCCTGGTGTATTCCGCCCACACACAGTCTTCCTGAATTCTTTACCTACTCTTAGGTTTGCAAAGCGCCTGCCCAGCAGGGATCGGTGTGTGTCCTGTACGCTTCCTTTCTCTGTTTTTCTTTCCCCTCTTCTTGTGTTCTCCATGGCAGAAGAGTAATTCGTGTTATGAACAACCATGGATGCTGGGTATGATTCTGACTAATGTGAGTGCCTCTGATGTAGCAATCTGTTACAGTTATTACTTTGGAATTATAAAGGAAGATAGATTACAGCATATCAATCCAGCATCACTTACCAAGAGTAATGACTTTCTATGTATCCCAGGCTGCCCTGAAATTCACTATGAAGCTGAGACCGGTTTTGAGCTCCCAATCCTGCTGCCTACGCTTCCAAATGCCAAGATTCTAGGCATGTGCCATCATACCCAAAGCATAATGAATTATCCTACTGAAATTTTGTGTGTGTCTTTCTGAGACAGAGTCTCCCTGTAGCCTCAAC